GCAGGGGACACAGGTTCAAGCCCTGGTCCAGGAAGATCCCACATGCCACGAAGCAGCTAAGCCCGTGCACCACAACTACTGAACCTATGCTCTAGAGCCTGTGAGCCACAACTACTGAGCCCAAGTGCCGCAACTACTGAAGCCTGCGTGCCTAGAGCCCGTACTCTGCAACAAGAGAAGCCACCGCAATGAGAAGCCTGCGCACCACAACGAAGAGTAGTCCCCACTCACCGCAACTAGAGAAAGCCCACGTGCAGCAACGAAAACCCAACACAATTAAAAAAAAAAAAAAATCAGCAGCTCCCTGTGGGCCAGGCACCGAGCTCAGGATTTTACATGCATTATCTCAGTTAATCTTACAATGACCCATTTTACAGAGAGCAAAACTGAAGACGAGAGGTTTCATTATTGCCTGGGGTGGGAGTGGGGGTCTCACAGAGCTAAGGTAATGAAACTAGAAGTTTGAATTCAGGTCTAACACCCTTGCTCTGAAACACTCTGTCTGGAGGGCCAACCTTTTGGTCACTGGGCATTTGGGGAAAAGCTCTTCGCCATCCTCACTTCTCCAGCCTCCATAACGCTTGATGGAAACCACACATTCATTGTCTTTCCCACCTTGGGAGCTCTGTGAGGACGTGTCTGCATCTTGTTTTTCACTGTAGACGCAACACCTGCCATCTGGGCAGACAGCAGGCACCCAAAAAAGGACTGCTGTGATGGGGTTTGGGTAGAAAATCCAGGAAGGGTGAATTCCCATAACTGTTGCAATTCTTCAGCCCACTAATTTGTTTTAGAATTGTTTTAATTTTTAATAAGTGTTTCCCAATTATAGACTGATGTGTGCTCAATACAGATCAGAAAATAATTTTTAAAAATCTAAATATACATAATTACACCACTAGGAAAAAACCCTTTTTTTTTATAGAGCAGGTTCTTATTAGTCATCAATTTTATACACATCAGTGTATACATGTCAATCCCAATCTCCCAATTTATCACACCACCCCCCCCACCCCCCCGCGGCTTTCCCCCTTTGGTGTCCATACGTTTGTTCTCTACATCTGTGTCTCAACTTCTGCCCTGCAAACCTGTTCATCTGTACCATTTTTCTAGGTTCCACATATATGCGTTAATATATGTGTTTTTCTCTTTCTGATTTACTTCACTCTGTATGAGTCTCTAGATCCATCCATGTCTCAACAAATGACCCAATTTCGTTCCTTTTTATGGCTGAGTAATATTCCATTGTATGTATGTACCACATTTTCTTTATCCATTCATCTGTTGATGGGCATTTAGGTTGCTTCCATGACCTGGCTATTGTAAATAGAGCTGTAATGAACATTGGGGTGCATGTGTCTTTTTGAATTATGGTTTTCTTAGAGTATATGTCCAGTAGTGGGATTGCTGGGTCATATGGTAATTCTATTTTTAGTTTTTTAAGGAACCTCCATACTGTTCTCCATAGTGGCTGTATCAATTTACATTCCCACCAGCAGTGCAAGAGGGTTCCCTTTTCTCCACACCCTCTCCAGCATTTGTTGTTTGTAGATCTTCTGATGATGCCCATTCTAACTGGTGTGAGGTGATACCTCATTGTAGTTTTGATTTGCATTTCTCTAATAATTAGTGATGTTGACCAGCTTTTCATGTGCTTCTTGGCCATCTGTATGTCTTCTTTGGAGAAATGTCTACTTAGGTCTTCTGCCCATTTTTGGATTTTTTTCTGCCCATTTTTGACCTTTCTCTCATCTTGTCTGCCTGCTATACACACACACACACACATATATAATATGTATAACATATATATATATTATGTATATATATAAAATGTAGGCAGGCAAGATCATTACATATAATATATGATATAATGTACCCATATAAAATGTGTGTATTGATGTATATATATCCCTGTCCATCTCGCTCCCATTTCCCCCTGTTAAACAGGCTGAATAATCTCCACTTATAGGGCTCCAAGGAGGTCCTTGGGGAATTTTTGCTAGCACAGTGCCAGGCACACACTGACTGACTTTTTCTACATGAAAGTAAAAAGATGGCAGTATTTCAGGGAATTAGGGGGGCTGGACCTGTCTTGTGTTTTACCACAGGAGCCTCCAGCCCTACCTGTTACTCTGCAGTGCTGACTGCAGGGTCACCAACAGCCTCCTGGTTACAGCAGGATCCTCAGGAGCCCTCACTCCGGGAAAGACACTGTTTCCAAAGAACCCACGTGTCCGATCCCTATGGCCTTTCCAATTCTCACTGTAGACAAACGTCTTGACCTCCTGTTTGTCTGTAGTCTCCCTTGCGTTTGGTTGATGTGGGTCAGTCCTCTGGAGATAGAACACTTCTGGGGCACGGATTTACTGTCATTTCTCTCAGCTCCAGGAGCATCCCCAGCTGTGGAGCTGCAGTAGATTACATTTCTGTTTAAACCATTCACTGTCCATCCTGGGGGAGGGTTATACTACATCTCTGCCCTATTGAATTCAGGAGTGGCCATAAGATTTGATTTGGTCAATAAAACGTGGGTGTCAATGGCCGTGTCACTTCTAAGCAGATGTTTTCAGCTAGCTTGCGGTCTGCTATCTTTTTCTTTTCTCTCTACCATGAATCCAGCAATGTCCCTGAGAGGGGCTGTTCCTTCAGCCTGGAGTGACAATAATACAGAGTAGGGACAAGCTGACCTATGATGACATGTAACATGAGTGAGAAATAATTATTTGTCAGAGAAAAAACCACCTGTCTCTGAGATCTTGAGATCATTTGTTACTATAGCATAATCTAGCCCATCCTGCATCTCTGTTACAGTGGCCTTGGGCATGTTACTTGACTTCTTTGAGCTTGAGTAGCCTCACCTGTAAAATTGGGATAATTGTGCGTACTTCACTTACAGGGTTTTCTTGGGGGGATTTTCATAAACAATGGATTAAAAGCGCTTAGCCTAGTTCCTGGATCTCAGTAGCTGCCTGTGAAATGCTAGGTGAACCTCCACCTGATTGGCGGTTGGAGAGAGGCCAGACACAGACTGACAAAGGGAGGCCTTCCATTAAAAAGCCGGATAAACACCGATGTCCACAGTAGCACTATTCACAATCTCCAAAAGGTGAAAACAAGCCAAATGTCCATCAGTGGATGAATGGATAAACAAAATGTGGTGTAGACACACAATGGAATATTATTTGGCCCGAAAAAAGAAGGACATTCTGACACATGCCGCAACATGGATGAACCTTGAAGACATTATTCTAAGTGAAATAAGCCAGACACAAAAGGACAAATAATATAGGATTCTCCTTATATGAGGTGCCTTGAGTAGTCAAATTCATAGAGACAGAAAGTAAAGTGGAGGTTGCCAAGGGTTGGTTGGAGTGGGGATGGGCAGATTTAATGGGTATAGAGTTTGAGTTTGGGAAGATCAAAGTTCTGGAGATGGAAGGTGGTGGTGATAGCTGCACACAGTGTGAAGGTACTTAATGCCACTTACCTGTACGCTTAAAAATGGTTAAAACGGTAAACTCTATGTTGTGTATACTTTATCACAATTTTATTTATTTTTAAAAATTGGATCATTTGTCTTTTTATTATTGAGTTGTAGGGTTCCTTATATATTCTACTACAAGTCCCTTATCAGATATATGATTTGCAAATACCTTCTCCCATTCTGTGTACTATCTTTTCTACCTGAACTCTTTTTTTCAATCAATATTTTTTTAATTGAAGTATAGTTGATTTACAATGTTGCGTTAATTTCTGCTGTATAGCAGAGTGATTCAGTTATACATATATATACATTCTTTTTAAAATATTCTTTTCCATTGTGGTTTATCACAGGATATTGAATATAGTTCCCTGTGCTGTACCGTAGGACCTTGTTTATTCATTCTATAAATAAAAGCTTACATCTGCTAACCCCAACTTCCCACTCCATCCCTCCCCCCCACCCCTCCCCCTTGGCAACCACCAGTCTGTTCTCTATGTCTCTGATTCTGTTTCTGTTTCATAGATAGTTTCATATTTTAGATTCCACATATAAGTATTTTACCACAATTTTTAAAAGCTGGATGAAGCTTCCTTTTCCTTTAAAAAAAAACCCCCTTCAGGCGTCCCTGGTGGCGCAGTGGTTGAGAGTCCGCCTGCCGATGCAGGGGACACGGGTTCGTGCCCCGGTATGGGAAGATCCCACATGCCGTGGAGCGGCTGGGCCCGTGAGCCATGGCCGCTGAGCCTGCGCGTCCGGAGCCTGTGCTCCGCAACGGGAGAGGACACAACAGTGAGAGGCCCGCGTACTGCAAAAAACAAACAAACAAACAAACAAAACCCTTCATTCCTTTTTTTACTCTGCTTTATGTTGGGCCGACCTCATTTGGAGTCCTTTCTTGTTCTGGACCACAAATTTTTATCTTTTCCTTTATTATTCTTTTTATTACACACATCACACATGGTCATTATTAAAAATATTAAAATGCAGTTAAGCAGAAAGAAAAGAAATGTACCCATGTACTCACCCTGCAGTAATAACCACTGTTTATGGTTTGGTATATCTCATTCCAAACATTTTTCTGAGCACTTATACATATAATTATACATACATCTATATACCTTTATACAAACTTCATTTAAACATAAAATCAGGTCATATTATATATACTGATATAAAATCCTGTTTTTTTCCCTACAAAATAATAAATAACATGAACAGTTTTCCACATTAACAAGTATAGATCTGCATTGTAATTTTAAAGGACTTCACAGACACCACCTGTATATATGGAAGTAACATCTTTATTTAACCAACTCCCCATTGATCGACATTTAGGTTGTTTCCATTTTTTTTTGTTGTTGTTGTTATTATAAGCAAACTTGTGGCAAATATAATAATAATGGTACAACTTTTTTCCTATGTACCAGGTTCTATGCTAAACTCTTCACAAGCATTATTTAATTTAATCCTCACAAGAATGCTATAAAGTAATACAGTTATAATCTCTGTTTTATAGGTGAGGAAACTGCAATTCACAAAGGTTATTTGTCAACATCATCCAGCAAGTGACTGACAACACTGGGATTTGAATGGAGCTCTGCCTGGTACTATAGCCCATCCTCTTTCCTTTAAATTGCGCTGTGTCCCAACTCCTGAAATAGGGCTCCTTAAATTCCCTTTCCTGCAGCCACAGAGTGGGAGGGATTTGTGGGCAAGGGGCCTGGAAGGTCCCTCATATAACCCTTTTGAAACCTAAATACCAAGTCTTCCCTGGGGAATGTCCAGGAGGTCTGAGATCTGGGTCATCTCTGTAAGGGAGTAGGCCCAGCACTGTCTGATGTCACGTGCTCTCGACCTGCAGGTTTGCCTGTTGTCGGCTGAGCCCCAAGAGAAGCACACTGGGCCCACAAAGCTTTCTTTCCAGCTGAGGCTTAGAGGTTGCCAATCCAACCTGGAGTCTTGTGCTTCTTTGCCAAACAATGCAGGTGCTCCGTGGGTCCAGGCCCATGGCTTCGTTGAGTACACATCCCTGGCAGCAGCAGCCACTAAGAGGTGATTCTTTGTCCACTACCCAGTTGGGGAACTGCTCGTCTCAGTACAGAACCTGCTTCCCCCTGCTTATACCTTTTAAAAAGCATGTTGTTAGGTTCATACAAATTTAGAATTGTTATATCTTCCCGGTAAATTGGATTTTTATCATTATGAAATGACCACCCCTCTCCATTATGAGATGTTTTGGGCTTTAAAGTCTATTTTATTCTGTAACGAATCTAGCCATGTCAGCTTTCTTTTGTTTAGTATTTGTATAACATGCTTTTTCTACCTTTCCACTGTCAACCTTTTTTGTATATTTATTCTTTAGGTATATTTCTTATAGACAATATATAGTTGGATTTTTATTATCTACTCTGGCAATCTTTGCCTTTCAAATGAAATATTTATTTTTTAAACCTCAAGATAATCTTACCATTATTTACAGTCAATATTCATTTAGACGTTTTACTTGGGATCATTTTTTGTCTGCCTGTAATAAAACATTTAGAATGTCTTTAGTGTATTTGATCTTCTAGTGGCAAACTGTTTCAGTTTTGTTTGTCTGAAAATGTCACCTTTATGGTTGGTTTTCTCCTCAATGCCTAACATGTTGGAAGAAAACAAATGTCAATTCAGAATTCTACACCCAGCAAAAATATCCTTCAGGAATGAAGACAAAATAAAGACATATCATCATTCCACTGAACCCTTAGTTCTTTCCACCTGCTCTTCCCTACCAATCCCAAGAATCTGGGCAGAGACCACAAAGATATTGAGCTTATCTAAGACTCATCTTTTTACTTCATCTCATATCCTGATTTCCCGTTAAGTCCTGTAAACTGTATTACAATCTAACCACTTCTTACTTCCTCCACTTCTACTACCTTAGCTTAAACTACTGTCATCTCTCACCCAAACTGTAGCAATAGCTTCCTAATTGGTCTCTCTGCTTCCTCTCTTACCACCCACATGATGTTGACACAACATCCTTTTATAATGCAAAGGAGATATTGTTATTTTCTGCTCAGAACCCTCGGATGTCTTCCCATCACATTTAGCATCAAATGCAAACTCTGTGCATAGTGTCCGTGATGTAGCTTCTCCCTACCTCTCTCACTTCATTTCCTACCACACTCCTCCTTGTTCACTGAGCTCCAGCCACACTGGACTCCTGCTGTTCCTCACTCATGCCCAGTTTGCTTCTATCTCAGGATCCTCCCAGGTACTCCTGCTTCTGCCTGGAGTGTTCCCCCCAGAGGGAGCCCGCCTCCCTCCCTCACTTCATTCCCACCTCTGCTCAAATGTTAACTCATCAGCGAGGGTTTCCCTGAACTCCCTAAAATAAAATTCTCTCATTCTCTATCCTCTACTCTGCTTTAATTTTCTTCCTAACAATGATAACTTCCTGACCGTATGTCATATGTACTAGAATATAAACTCAAGGAGGACAATAACTTTATTTTATTCATTGTATTCGTCCCTTGTGTCTCAAATAGTCCCTGGCAGGGAGGAGGTTTTCAATAAATACCTGCTGAATAAATGGATCTGCACAGCTGTCTATGTTATAATGAGAATGCATATTAAAATATTTTAATGCAAATATAGCCCAAGTATCTAACCTCATCAGCTTGTTACTACAAAGTTGGGTTTAATTGCCTGATTGCCTTTTCATATTCAACCTGTAATGACTTCAGTCCCGTTCATGTGATGGCAAATCCTCAGTCTTTCCTCAAAGGTCCCCGCAGTTATTTCTGGGGGTCCCCGCAGAAGGGCTCGCAGGAGTGATGTACTAGAGTTGGCATGTATAGCCTCCCAAGAGCTGATTGTTAAATATTCAGGAATTCTGTAAGTTGATTGTCATACCGTGGTAGCTTGAAATTGGTCAGAGTGGAAGTACTTACACACTGGCAATCAGAGAATGCTATAAATCATGGTGGTGTTTTAAATAAAAAAAAAAATTGTAGAGCCAGTTTACCAGTACGAGGTTCCACAAACTAATTAGTAAACTATTGTCTCCAAGTGGTATCAGCTGTCCTCCAGCTGAGGCCCCCCATGGAAGGCTCTTGGAGAACCCTGCCTAGTGCCTCGGCCCATCCAGACAAGGCCAACGCACCTGCTAAGGCTATATCATATACTCTCAGGGAGCCAAGAGTCAAATTTAGGACTGCTTATCCAGTAGATACAGAAATGGAGGGGAGCTTTGAAGATACAGGGTTTCTCCAAAACCTCCCTCAGTGTCTCCTCTCACCAGCTGACTTTGAAAGCTCTTAGACTTTTTTTTTTTTTTTTTAATCAAAGCTCTATAGTGGTGGTGACAAGGCATGGCTTGATGACTTTATCTCCACACCCGACGCACCCACCCCCTGCCCCCTTGGAAGACTCTGCTAGTTGTGTTTTCCAAACCCATTCCTCATTCTTCCTTACTGTAGCTGTGATGACAGAGCAGCAGAATGACAGACCAGGAGACAGAAGAAGCCACCATAAGGACACTGGAGACAAAATAAAATCCCTTGACTCGCTTAAGCCACTGTTAGCTGGCTTACCTACTACCTGACCAATTCCTAACTGAAACACTTCTCTATAATATCCATCACCTTCTCCAAGCCAGCTAAGTAAAAACATATTTTCCATGCAAGTACAAGAGCCCTAGGCATCCTCTCCACAACCTGATGACTGCCTCCAGGCCCCTATGTAGAACTCTGGACCTGCCCTCGTGGTTCCATGTATGTCCCTTCTGTCACGAGGTGCACTACCCCTCCCCACCGACCCACCCAAGCAGGAGGTACGCAGAATATATTTCTCCTGAACCTGCTGCCTCCATAGGTCAAGGCCTTCACGTTGAGGAAATAGCAGAGCGTGGGCTTTTAGGCTTGTGTTTGAGCCCTGATACTTACAACCGTCCTGAGGAAAGTTATTCATTTTATTCTCAGTTTTCTCATCTGTGTAAGGAGGTCAATACTCCCAGCCTCCTAGGGTTGATCGCTGTAAGGATTAAATGAGAAAATGCCCAGAGTAAGTGCTCAGTGGGTATTAGCTCTTACAGACAGGGCTGTAATGAACTTTATGGTCCACACATATCACACCTAATAATTTCCTTAGGATAAATTCCTAGAAGAGGAATTTCTGGGTTACGGTTTCTGCTCATTTCGAATTTTGACCATACTGAAAATTGTTCTCCAAAAGGGTTTATACCAATCTGAGAATCTCCCATTTCTCCAGATCTTCATTAGTACAATGTATTATCATTTTCCTTACCTTTGCTGATTTTGTAAGGCAAAAAGAGCGTCTCACTTTTTTCTTATTAATTTTTAAGTTGGATGTATTTTTTTGTGTGTGTGGTACACGGGCCTCTCACTGTTGTGGCCTCTCCCGTTGTGGAGCACAGGCTCCGGACGCGCAGGCTCAGCGGCCATGGCTCACGGGCCCAGCCGCTCCGCGGCATGTGGGATCTTCCCGGACCGGGGCACGAACCCGTGTTCCCTGCATCGGCAGGCGGACTCTCAACCACTGCGCCACCAGGGAAGCCCTGGATGTATTTTTAATGGCTCACAATGTTGATCACTTTCTCATGTTTGTTGGTCATTTGAATTTCTTTTGCAAATGTCCGGTTCTCACACTTTGCCTGCTTTTCTGTTGGGTCATAGGAGGTGAGGGAGATGGAGGGGGGAGCTGAAGTTGGTTTGGGTGATGCGGTGGCAGAGGAAATGACAATTAGTAGATGGATATGAGAGAAGTTTAAGTGGTTTAAGTTTATATGGCGGTTTTGGTGATGGTCTGGATGTGGGTAGAGCAGGAGAGGAGAGAAGGCAGTTAACAATGACATCCAGGTTTCTGGTTTCAACAACTGGTTAGGTGGTGGTGGCTTTTTCTGCGATGGGGAAGATTGGGGGTGAAGATGATGTTTTTCCTTTTGGTCATTTGAGTTTGAGGTGCCCTGTGGAATATCAAAGGCTAGCAAACAGTTGGATTTGTAGGTCTGGAGCTCTGAAGACAGATGTGAGTGGGAGAGTCCTTGCTCTGCTCCTGGAGACCGTGAGGGAAGAGGGCCTGCTAGAGAAACAGGATACGTGCCAACACTGAAGAGGTGGACAGAGAAAGATGACTGGGAAGGAGGTATGGGAAAATAAGTGGAAAACCAGGGGTATGAAGGGCCATGGAAGCCAAGGGAAGAGGGTGCTTCAAGAAGGAGAAGGTGATGAACAGTGTCAAAGGAGTTGAATAAGACGAACTGAGACATGCCTGTTCAGCTTTCCAGACGAGCAAGAGCAGTTTAATGGCGTGACAGTGGCAGAAGTTGGGCTACAGTGGGTTGAGGGATGGAAGGTGAGGAAGCAGATGCCGAGTGCCAAGTGTCTGTGGGTTTGGAACCACTAAGGAAGCAAGAGTAAAAGTGCTGGCTAGAGTGGCCCTGCCTATTTCCCCGCACCTTCACCAATACTGGATTTGACCATTTTCTACTCTTCACCTACCTGATAAGGTAAAACTTCCTTCTCATTATTTTTATTTTCATTTATTTGATTGTCAGCGCAGTTGATTGGTTGTTTTCCTGAGAAAACTCTCCTCTCCCCAGGTTGCTAGACTCAACAAATAAAAATACGGGATGCCCAGTTAAACATGAATTCCAGATAAACAAGAAATACTTTTTAAGTATGTCCCAAATATTGCGTGGGGGCATACTTACCCTGTATTTTTTACTGGCAAAGTTCCCCCCACCCCAAGCTTATAAAAAATAATCACCTGCCCATGTTTCTAGCACATTATCATTTCATTTAGATTTTTTAAGCCATCTCACGTTTATTTTATGAGATAGTATTCTAACAACTTTTTCTCAAGTGGTTAGGAAATTGTTCCAGCACTACTTATTGAACAAACTAGCAAACTCTCATTGATTTAGAAAACCATCTTTGTCATATCAATTTTTTCTTTCTTTTTTTTTTTTGGCTGCGAGGCATGCAGGATCTTAGCTCCCTGACCAGGGATCAAACCCATGCTCCCTGCAATGGAAGCGCAGAGTCCTAACCACTGGACCTCCAGGGAAGTCCCTCATATCAAATTCTTTTACGCACTTTGGTCTCATCTTTCTATTCTGTTTCATTGTCATTTGTCTGCTGTGTTGTACTAATCGTTTAAAAAACTTTTCTTCTGTATTTCAGGATGCTTTGACATCTTGGGGTCTTACTAATTCTGAAGAGACTGCCCCTCCCAGGGCTAGCTAATTCCTAGAGATGGTAAACAAGTTGTCTCCAAGTATGCATATGCAAGGCAGCCAATCCCAAACCCATAGCTATTGATCCAACCACCTTCTCTATCTCCCTCTCAAACACCAGGCCAACATTCCCCTGCCCTAAACCACCCCAGGGCAACACACAACTAGGGACCACTCTCAGAGCTGCTGAAATTATTCAAACTATTCAATCCTAAACCTGTTTAGCGGTTTACCCTGCCTCACCCATTTCTTCCTGTGAAAACCCGCAGTAAACGCTCTGGCTGGTGGTTTCCCCTTCCTCCTTCCTCCTGATCTACACTGATTGTTTCCTTACCTGGCCCAGCATGGCAGGGCATGCCCGTTCCTCTTGGGAACTGTAAATAGCAAACTCTTCTTTCAAAGGCAGCTGTGTTTGCGTCTGTCACCTTACCATACCCAATTAATACAAAATGCCAGGCACATTTTAAAACCTCTCTGCCAGTGCCATCATTTTTTTAATTTCTAAAACGTTGTAATATTTTAATGGATGGGCAAAAGTGTCTCTTATTTTTCAGACTTTTACTGAATATTATTATTATTTAAAATTTATTTATTTTTGCCTGCGTTGGGTCTTCGTTGCTGCACGCGGGCTTTCTTTAGTTGCGGCGAGCGGGGACTACTCTTCGTTGCGGTGCATGGGCTTCTCATTGCGGTGGCTTCTCTTGTTGCGGAGCACGGGCTCTAGGCGCGCGGGCTTCAGTAGTTGTGGCTCGCGGGCTCAGTAGTTGTGGCTTGTGGGCTCTAGAGCGCAGGCTCAGTAGTTGTGGCTCACGGGCTTAGTTGCTCCGCAGCATGTGGGATCTTCCCGGACCAAGGCTCAAACCTGTGTCCCCTCCATTGGCAGGTGGATTCTTAACCTCTGCACCACCAGGGAAACCCCTGAATATTATTATAGCTTTATTCTTCAAATTACCTTTAGAACTGTTTTGTTAAATTCTAAGATAAGGCATTTGGGGATTTTGAGTTGGAATGTGTGAATTTTTACATTAATTTGAGAAAAATAGGTGGATTTTAAACATTGTGTTTCTATTTAAGACAAGGTAGATGCGTGCCACAACTACTGAAGCCTGTGTGCCTAGAGCCAGTGCTCCGCAACAAGAGAAGCCACCGCAATGAGAAGCCCGCGCACCGCAACGAAGAGTAGCCCCTGCTCGCCACAGCTAGAGAAAGCCTGCGCGCAGCAACAGAGACCCAGTGCAGCCAAAAATAAATAAATTTAAAAAAAAAAAAAAAAAAAGGCAAGGTAGAGTTTCCAAGTTCTCTTCCATGCCCCTCAATAGACTTTTTCCCCGGTAAAGTTTATTTCTAGTTGTTTTCTGAAGGTTTATTTCTAGTTATTTTCTATCTTTACTGATATTATGAATGGAACTCTTCCCTATTATAATTTCTAACTGCTTTTTATTGTTTGATGGGAATGCTGTTGATTTTTGTATATTTGTTTTG